CAGTGTTTCGTTCTGCTGTGCATGGGGTCGCTATGAGTTGGAAACGACTCGACGGCACTTAACAACAACAACACACATCAGTCTTTACCATTGATTGTGGTTAGAGAAAGATAGCCCAGAAATAAATTTTAAATAAACTATACTCGTTGCTGTCAAGTTAGTTTCCATGTGTTGTTGTTGTTATGTGCCGTCAAGTTGGCCCTGACTCATAGCGACCTCTCCTTGGGTTTCTGAGGTGGTATCTCTACAGAAGTAGATTGCCCAACCTTCCTTCCGAGGAATGGCTGGTGGGTTTGAACCGCCAGCCTTCTGGTTAGCAGTCAAGTGCCCTAGGCACTATGCTACCAGAGCTCCTAAAATAAACTATATCTTATGTGCATTCCATTGATGTCACATCGTATTATGTAAGGGCAGTGCAGTTTTTAAAATCCTGAACCATTACTTCTGCCAAAAGTAAACAAAATGTTGTGCCTGAAGGCTTTAGGTTTGACATTAATATGTAAACTTTTTAAAATGTATTTTAATGAGTTATAGCCCTCATTTGCTTATTAACATTTGCTTTTGAAAAGGATGTTTGATAATTGGCAGGCTAAGTAACTTGCTGTAGGCATATTAAGCTCAAAATTTAACTCAAATACCCTTCACCTTATTTCCTTATAGATTAAATACTCAACCTGCTCTGTGTAAAATTATTGACTATACCCAATGCACTTGTTGCCTATCCCTATTTCTTGGGAAAAATAATAGTATACACCAAGGTAAATAAATGATGACATAAGTACACAAGAATAAGATAATTTTGGTAAATACTATAACATACGTAATTTTGCAATAACAATAACAACCAAAAAGTATATGCAAATGTTATGTATACGAAGGTACATGTGAACGTATGAGTATGCTTGTATAGGTGTATCTGTAGACATGTATATACATGTCCCTGTGTGCTGCATATATATTCATAAATACTAAAAAAGAAAAAAAAAACTCACTGCCATTGAGCTGATTCCAACTCACAGTGACCCCATTGGGTTTCTGAGGCGTTAAATCTTTACAGAAGTAGATTGCCCCATCTTCCTCTGTGGAGCGGCTGGTGGGTTTGAATCACCAGCTTTCTGGTTAGCAGTCAAATGCCTTAGGCATTATGCCACTAGAGCTCTTTATATTTGTATATGTAGTAAAGCTTGTATGGGGCACAGTTGTAGATACTTCCTAGACATAAGTCAACACCTTATGGGATTGGTTTATTGAGTTTGAAGGCTTACAAGGACCATAGTCTCTTGGGAAAACTCGATTAATTGGTATAACATAGTTGATAAAGATAATACTCTATATCCTGGTTGCTGAGTAGCATCTTAAAAGCATGTGAGCATCCATCTATGCTACAGCTATTGGTGTCTACTTGTCTGGAAGAAAAGAGAAACAAAGAAGCCAAAGACTCAAAGAAGAAACTAATCCATGGTACTAACAGCCCACACAAACCATGACCTCATCTATCCTGACACCAGAACTAGATGATGCCCAGCTATATCATCAGCCATTCTGACTAGGGACAGAATAGATGGTCCTGGATAGAACAGGAGGGAAATGTAGAACAAAACTCAACAGTTCCAAAAAGATACCAGACTAACTGGACCAGTAGAGACTAGAGGAACTCCTGAGATTATTGCTCTGAGATGCCCTTTAAACTTGGAACTGAAGCTACTCTTGGAGGATACCTTTCAGCAAAATAACAGATTGGCTTATAAAGTAAACAATATCACCCATTACTACAAGTGTTCCTTTAATCATCTATTTGAAACCAAACAGTCAACATTTACCATAAAACAAAGGTGAGAGGGTGAGGGGGAGTGGCCAGGGAAATTAGATTAATAGAAACAGAACAGCCAGAAAGGAAATAATGAGAATACTGAGACATTGTGAAAAATGTAACCAATGTCACCAAACAACATGTATAAACTCTCACCAAAAACACATAAAATATTTTTTTAAATAATAGTATTGTTGGTTTATAGGAGCTCTGGTGGCTTAGTGCCTCAGGCATTTGACTGCTAACCAGAAGCCTGGCAATTCAAACCCACCAGCCACTCCTTGGAAAGAAGATTGGGCATTCTACTTCCATAGTGATAACCACCTCAGAAACCCAAGGAGGGGTCACTGTGAGTCGGATCTGACTCAACAGCAGTTGAGTTTGGTTTGGTTCATAGTTGCTTTATACACATAAATCTAATTTTTAATGTTGATTGAATTTCCGTTTTTTTGTTATTTGTTTTGTTTTGTTTTTTAATAGAACACTTAAAAGAAAAACTAGATACCTACATTAAACTGTGGAATGGCCTAGTGAAGGTATTTCGAAATGAAAGAAGAGAAGGTTTGATTCAAGCTCGAAGTATTGGTGCTCAGAAGGCTAAACTTGGACAGGTAGGAAACATTTTATATCTACGATGAAGCATTTTGGATTTGGTAACCAAAAGTCTTAAACATTTTTAATTACCCTTTAGTTTTTATTTGTTTTTTTAATTGAAATAAGAATGCTAGCTTAAACAGGTAACTTATGTGTCATAATAGATTATAATGTTAATTTTCATTAGCATCTAACTTTAAATTGTGTGTGATATATGATGTACCACGTATTAGGAGTGTTCTTTCACCCTGCCTCTTTTTTTTAAGGTTTTGATATACCTTGATGCCCACTGTGAGGTGGCAGTTAACTGGTATGCACCACTTGTAGCTCCCATATCTAAGGACAGGTAACATTACCTTGCTTTTTTTTTTTCCCCCCTTTCCTGGTTGAAAAGTAAGCCTCCTCTAAAAGGACCAATAATATTCTCATTCTTCTGATTCCAGTTCCATTCAGTACATCAGATATTGAGTTTCCAGTGTTATCATTTAGCTAGTTGTTTCCTTGGGTCGAACTAGACTGAGACTTTCGGCTGATTCAAATGTTGAGTGCTCAGGCATTTGAGATAAGCGTAGGATGCCACACCCTGGAATAACTTCCTGTCTGGGTTATTGAAGAGACTTCCTCTATCTCCAAAAACTTTTTCTGTGGATGATATTAGTTGTTCCCTTTACACTGAGGTAAGAGTTTTAAAGATATGAAGAAGATTCTTTGAAATTAAATCTGTTGATTTTTTTGTGCCTTTCAAGAAAAAAGTTTGGGGGCGGGTAGAGATGGTAAGCCTAGCTGTTAGATGTGGCAAGTCTTTGGGTTCTGATAGAAACTTTAAAGATCAGAAATAGACAACTATTCTGAAACGGTAGAAGGCAGCATTAATCTCCTAGTGCCAAAAGCCTTCCCTGCTTCTAGTTCAGAATTCTGACTATTTCGGCGTCTAGGAAAATAAGACATGTCCCTGTGTAAGTGGTGTGAGCCAAAGGAAGAACTTTGGAGAATTTAATTATCAGAGGCCTTAATGTAAAGGCCTATTGGAAACATTTTCCACATGCCACCTGATTTAATCCTCATTAGCAACCCTGCAAGATAGATATTCTTAGCTCCATTTTATTGAAGATGACACTAAGACTTAGAATATGAAGTCATTTTTCTCCAATCAGTTAGCTAATAAACTATTAAACCAAGGTCTCTCTGGGAATCTTTACACTGCACAATTTTTTTTAGAAATATGAGAATCACAAAAAGTAAGAAAAGATAAAACTGACCACCTTCACCTTTTTAGGTGAATACTAGCAGTCCTTTGGGTGTTAAAGAAGAGGTTTTCTAATGGATCCCGTATCCCAGACCTTGCACTATATATACAGTGGGGATTCACTGTCCAGAGGGATTCAAGTACTTTTTTCTAATCTACTTCCCCCACATCCAAGTTCTAAATACCATAGTTTCTCCTTTTTCTTTGGTTTCTAAACATCCACAAATCATGGCTGTACATGGTTATGAAAAGCTCTATCTCCGTTTTAAGAAATACATTTTAAATTCCTTGCTGATAAGATGAGCAGTGAAAACAATCAGGGTACCAGTTTATCTTTGTAATGCTGACTCTACATCTGATTGGCTTTAGAGTACTAGCATTTTCATGACGCCCAAATACAAAAGAATTCTTTGCTCTAAATTTTCAGACTATTACTTAAATTCTTTAGCAGGTTTTAAGGGACTTATTGCTTGTTTGTTTTTTATGCAAGAATACAGTTCTTTTTTCTTCTTCTTCTTCTTTTTTGACAAGAAAAGCTGTTTTCGAGGCAGAAGAAAACCAAGTAAAAGTACTGAAACACAATTTCATAATAATTGCCTCCAAAGAAATAGGAAGCAACAAAAGAGAGAACTGCTAAGATAGTAGCAAGTACTGTCTGTCTAGACACACACACACACACACACACACACACATTTTTAATGAGGGGTAGAGAAGAAAAACTGACAAGCAGGAAAATCTTATAAATAATACAGAGTTGCCAAGACAAAGTTGCCTGTAGGGCCAAAGTGAAAAGGAGAAAATGCTGTAAAGCCAAGAGATGGCTTTTTGTCCTGGCATGTGTCTATAGGCCTAGGAAAAAGTCTCTCCTAGCCTTCCCTTATGAAAACAGGCTGTTTTGACTTTTATGGCAGAGTCCTTTACTTCTGTTTCCCATTAGATATTCAAGCCCTTGGTGCAAAAACAAGCAAATCATCAACAAAAAGAGATAATGTAGTTAGGCATGCTAAACTAGTCAGTTTTGGGTTCTTAAATGCTTTTTCATTTTCTGTAAATGTTTCAGAACTACATGTACTGTGCCTCTAATAGATTACATAGATGGGAATGATTATTCCATTGAACCACAGCAAGGTGGGGATGAAGATGGTTTTGCCAGAGGGGCCTGGGACTGGAGTTTACTATGGAAACGTATTCCTCTGAGCCATAAGGAAAAGGCCAAAAGAAAACATAAAACTGAACCTTATCGGTAAAAATTACTTATTTTCTTTTGTTGAATGTTTATCTAAGTACTTTTTTTTTTTTCCTTCCCCATGAACTCGTATAAATGTGTGGGTCCATACACACCCTTCCATTTCATCTTTGGTGCCATCATCAACACAATACAGAACCATTTGCACTGTGCCGATTATAGATGTCATAAATGGCAACACATATGAAATTGTACCCCAAGGGGGTGGTGATGAAGATGGGTATGCCCGAGGAGCATGGGATTGGAGTATGCTCTGGAAACGGGTGCCTCTGACCGAGCGAGAGAAGAGAATGAGAAAGACAAAAACTGAACCATATCGGTAATCACTAAATCACTTACATATTTTTCTTTTTTCCAGTAGTTGCTAATCTACTAATGTACTGCTAAGCTAAAATTTGTTTACAGTATCTAAAATTTACAGTATCTAAAACTGTAGATACTTAGATTTTGAAAGGACTTCTTTGCTTGCACTGACTGTTGTAGAGCTTTGAATGCACATTTGCTTCCTTGTAATTGGTTTTGCCCTGAATGCAAGCCCCTCTATGGAATTATTCTTTTTCATTGGGGGAAAAAAATGTCATATGGCATTAGTTCCAAGTACAAGTGAAAAACAGATCTCTGCTATCCTGTCCTAGGCATCAGATTTTATTCTTTAGATGATAATGTTATTCTGTACACTTAAAATACATAAATTATTTTTAAATCCATGATTTTTATTTCCACTTTGACATCTTGGGTTTAATGTTAATGAAAGGCAGCAAGGGATTTTTGTTTTTTCCCCCTTTTTTGTTTTATATGCTAGCTCTCAAATACTAATTGTGTACCAGTTAAATCTGATGAATAAAAATACATGACTTTGGAAAAACATTACATAGAACCCTTTATTGTTTTATCCTCCAAACCTACCACCAAACCTCTGCTGCAGACTCAATTCCAGCTCATCGTGACCAGAAAGCCTATAAATCTTTAGGGAAACAAACTGCCACATCTTTCTCCCACCTTGGAGCAGCTGGTAGGTTTGAACTACTGACTATTCAGTTCATAGCCGAGCACTGTAACCACATGCCATTAAGGCTCATTCTCAGAAGAAAACCAAAAAACCAAACCCACTGCTGTGGAGTCAGATCCAACTCATAGGGGTCCCTCTTTGAGTTTTTGAGGCAGTATCACTAGGGAAGTAGATTGTCCAACCGTCCTTCCGAGGAGTGGCTGGTGGGTTTGAATTGCCAGCCTTCTGGTTAGCAATCACATGCCTTAGGCACTATGCTACCAGAGCTCCTAGAAGAGTGCTTCATTAAAAACAAATGTTATTCCAAAATCAGCATGTGTCCCTTCTTACCGTTCTTCAAATAGAACAATTTATACTGCTCTTTTGATCTTTTAAAGGGAACATTTTACTATTCAAATAAGTGACCCCAAATGAAATGTTTGCTCCACTGTTAGTGTAAGCTTCTCCTGAATATGTCTAATTTTCTTCTTTTTGACCTTATGGTTCTGCTTTTGGTCTCTGTCTCTCTGTTACTTTGCTGATCATGGAAGGACCTCTCTTTTAGGGAAGGGCTTCCAATGTCATGGAAATGCTAGTGGGATTTGGGCATGTCATGATATCAAAATACAGCAGCTTCTTACCAAGATGGCAAACATAAGGAAATTATAGAACTTTACATTTTATTGGACACTGCAAATTTTCATTGGAAGTTGTTAATTCTAAATAGTCCAGGAATTCACTTCCTTTGTGCTTAACCTGACTAACAAATAATTCTGGGAGAAAACCATAAAACCTGCTGATTACTTTTATGTTTCTCCCAATTCCATAGGCTAATAAAAAAATTTAAAAACTGATCTGAAAAAATTTAAAGAAGACTTCCCTTAAAATAACTCACCCTTTTCGTATATATACTGAGATGAGTGGGAATATATTTAAAGATCAAATAGGTACAGTTATAATAGATTAATGACAATAAAATGAATGTGACATTAAAATATAACCAAAAATGTGGTAGTGCAGTTTAGTGAGTTAGGCAGCATACTTTAAGAAAAATGGAAAATTTTACCTAATTTACTATTTATCTATTCAATAAATGTTTATTGAGTGCTTACAGTTTTCTGGGGATAAATCTAAAAAAGTATATTCCCTCATGGCACTTAAAATACAGTAACTCTGGAACAGCAACCATGATAAGTTAATATGAAGAAAAAAAAAGTATGGGAGAACATGGAGCTTATGAAAAGGAAACTAATCCAGGCTCGAGGGTCAGGAAAAGCCTTCCTAAGGAAGTATTGTTCAGACTAAGACCTGAAGAAGAGGAAGAATATCTCAGAAGAGTGAATAGCATAGATGAAGGCCCTATGACAGAAGGGAGTTTGGCAGAGCAGTGAAGAGCACAGTTAGGGGAAGAGGGTGCAAGGTGACCCTGGAGAGTAGAGCATCTTGCAGACCCATGTTAGGGATTTTACTCTGACTACTCTGTGGAGGTTAGATTTGGAAGTGATAGAGTAGAATAAAGGAAACACATAGGGAGTTCCTGTCATAGTCCAAGCAATGATGGCTTAGTCTATGGTGGCAGCACTGAAGTTGGAAAGAAGTATATAGAATTAAAATATGTTATTGATAGTGATAGATACCCTTATAGGAAACTCTGGTTAAGAATCATGATGCATGATGCCTCCCTGGGAGCCAAGGAGAAGAATTGAAATTATCCTAGCTGGCTCTTCTCTTAATGGTGGGAATGACTTGTCCTTAAAAGCCTACCAAGTCTTTTTTCCTGTTGTCCCCAGAAAGTACCAAATCCAGGATCCCAGTTCAATAAGCCCTACAAATCATCTTTTTACATTCCAACTTCCTGACACAGTAAATAGCTATGTCTAATTCTCCTGTGTCATTTCTGTGCAACATTTGCAAACTCTGAATGAACTGTGGCTGTTCTATGATGATTTACACCCTTATTTGGCAAGCCTCTGAGCTATAAAATTAAAAAAATGACAGACTGCTTCCATGGTGTATGGTTTCGTTCATCCCAGAATGACTCATAAATCATTGCAGGAACAGTTAGCAGACCGTAGCTGTATGGTGCAGTGTTTTTAGGAGTGAAAGAGAAAATTCTTTTTTAACGAAAACTACTTAATTTTTAAATCCACAAAGGAACCAAGGCGCCCTCTAATGGAGAAATGAAGCAATGCTCTAATTTGTGATGAACTGTGTAATTCAGTTTCAGCTCAAAATCATGGTAAATTCATTGGGGAATTATGAACAGTGTCTTATGAAGACTATAATTTCTTAATGTTTGGCCATCAGTTTTTTCTATTCTGTACATTGCTAGGCTGTTTTCCAAAAGACTTCTTTTCTATGGGTGTAGGGATATTGGGGTTCGTTTGTAATGGTTATTGCAGTGTTTCTTTTTCTTAGGTCCCCAGCCATGGCTGGTGGATTATTTGCTATTGAACGAGAGTTCTTCTTTGAATTGGGTCTCTATGATCCAGGTCTCCAGATTTGGGGTGGCGAAAACTTTGAGATTTCATACAAGGTAAAATTTAAAATACATTTTATAAACATTTACTGACTTATGTGACTTTCAGTTATGGCTGGTTCCTTTGAAGAAATAGTATAATGCATTTCTCCAAATTACAAGAAATGACTAATAAAAATATATGCCTTTTAAGAAAATAAAGCAAAATATGAACTCCAAAGTTACCACATATTACCACATACTTACATGTTGTTGTTGTTGTTATGTGCCGTCGAGTCGGCCCCGACTCATAGCGACCCCTCCTTGGGTTTCCGAGGCAGTATCACTACGGAAGTAGGATTGCCCAACCTTCCTTCCGAGGAGTGGCTGGTGGGTTTGAACCGCCAGCCGTCTGGTTAGCAAGCAAGTGTCTTAGCCACTATGCTACCAGAGCTCCCATAGCTTAGCTCAAAATAGCCAACAAGCTTCAGAAATGAAAATAATTGTCCCCACCCCAAGACCTTCTACACACTGGAACTATTTGTTATTGAAGCCCTTTTGGGGATCTGCATGTGTTGAGGCCGGAGTTTGACCATCCACTGGTTTAGTCACCCTTTATAACTGTAGGACATGATTCAAGACAAGCAGATCCCGACAGTGACTGTGTACCCTCAGACTGACGTTAGAGCTTTCTTCCTGCAGCACCTCCCCTGTTACTGAGCAATAATACCCTAGTCCATGCACATTGATACCTTAGTACTTGGAATAACACCTTAGTCCTTGTGCAATAGCACCTTTGTCTTTGTGCAGTAACACCTTAGTCCTTGCACAGTGGCACCTCAGTCCTTGAGCAATAACACCATATTTGCTCCAACTCCTCCCCACCCCCATTCTTTAAAAGAGAGAGAGCATGTGTAGCCCTCGAGCAAGGGAAAACTCTATCACAGTTTGAGTTAGATGCTTATTACCTCCTGTCTTAGATGCTCCAGGCATAGAGCACTGTGAGCATTAGAAGAGGAATAAATCAGTTTCAAAGAGCTTAGAGTCCATAAGAATATACTAGAATTACACCTAAGTATGTAACAGCAAGAAGGCAAACTGGCATTCAGTTGGTGTAACTAAGATACAACATCATGGTAGGGGCAGAATTTGAGGCAGAGCAAGAAAGATGGGCATAGTCTCAGTAAAATGAGATAACAGAAGGGAGGAGGACTTCCATGCAAATAGATAAGGAAAGGTACAAAGGTACATAAAGAATGTTTTCAGGAAACAATAAGCACAGTTGGGCATGACTAAGGAGGATGTATAAGGAAATAAAGTGGACAGGGACCTTAGGACCATAGTGATGAGTACTTTTAATGTTGAGCTCAGAGATTTTTACTTAATTTGATAAGGAATAGAGATCCACCAAAGATATTTATCAAGGGAATAGCATGACCCAAAGCTGCCCTTCAGCTAGAATAATCTGCTTGCTATAAATAAGGATAGATTTAAGTAGAGAGAAGCTGGAGGTGAAGAAGCCAGTTAAGAGGTTATTATAATAATCAGCCAGGTAGGAAATACTGTATTAGCAATGGAAATGGTAAATGATGTTAGGAATGAAGAATCTGCATGACTTTGCAAGGTTACATTGGGAAAAGGTTGCTAGGAGCTATAATTATATAGGAAGAGGCCCCTTAGTAGCAGTTTATTGCTATATTCCCTATTAATGCCTTCATTGTTTTATAAGTTTTTAAAATAAGCATTTTAGTTTAATTATGCTTTGGGTGCAAATTTATAAAGCAAACTTGTTTTACATTCAGTAGTTCATGTACATCTGATTCAGGGCCCCATTACCATCCCCAACCATAAAAAACTCTCCTCCCCTCTCATCCCTGTGACCACATCCTCCTAGTGTCCTTCTCATCTATGCATTCCTGTCTGCCCAGCTTTCCCTCTATGTGAGTGCTAGCCCTCTGGTGTCTGATGGCTGATTGATCCAAGAGGTGCATCTCCATACAGTAAGTGGGTGCATCGACCTGGAATAGGTGTTTGTATGTAAGTCTTTCTACTGTTGGACTGAGAGCTAATGTAAGTAAGTGAGTCCATTTCTAGGCCCGAAGGGTAACCTGGGACACTAGGCGGAGTTTCCACCAGTCTTTCCAACCAGTAATTCTGGTCTTTTTTGTGTTTTTGAATTTTGTTCCACATTTTTCTTCCCATTCTATCCAGGATCTCCAGATTTGATCCCTCTCTGAGCAGTTGGCATTGGTAGCTGGGCACCATCTAGTTCTGGTCTTGGTGTGTGGAGGCTGAGGTCCTTGTGGTCCATCTTATCTTCCGACTAATTGTTAAAATAAGCATATTATTTTAGAATTTGTTTGGTTTATGAATTCTCTGTGGACATTACATGCCATTTAGATTTCAGTTTTAAATTTACAAGACAAAGCTTCCTTTTTACATTTGAAATAATTCTACATATTATCTCTTGGTAGATATGGCAGTGTGGTGGCAAATTATTGTTTGTCCCTTGTTCTCGTGTGGGACACATCTACCGTCTTGAGGGCTGGCAAGGAAATCCTCCACCCATTTATGTTGGATCTTCTCCAACCCTAAAGGTGAGTGTTTTCATTAAAAGGGGGAAAGCTAAGGAACTAACATTTATGTATATCACATGCTTTTATAATCTCTTAACAGATGTTAGCTCTGAAGGGGGTAAATCTTTTAAGCAATTACATTTGTCCTCATCTTTAATTTAGATCATGTTTATTCATGAAGTGTCTTATTGTTTCTAAACATTATTTATTATACCCCATTCAAATTAGAATTCATATATTGAATGTCTTCCCTGAATTCATCTCAAATAAATTTAAAAAGAAATGACACTTCTGTAGTTAAGTACTGGAAAGGAAAATACCATCTTCTGCTGTTCACACATGAGTAAAATATTGTTTTTCTCTGGTTTTAGAAAATGAAGGTAATCATATTATGAATTTGTATAGTAAAAAAGTCAAGTTGTTGAACAGTGCTTATAATTTAATATCTCTTGTCCCTCAAAAAGGAGATCTGGTGGCATAGTGCCAAAGCATTTGACTGCTATCCAAAAGGCTGGCAGTTTAAACCCACTAGCCACTCCTCAGAAGGAAGGTTGGGCAATCTACTTCCATAGAGATATCACCTCAGAAACCCAAGGAGGGGTCACTATGAGTCAGGATCGAATCGATGGTAGTGAGGTTTGGTTTTTTTTTTGGTCCCTCAAAAGAGGCATAGAGATTAAATTAGTATCTCTTGTCCCTCAAAAATGGCATAGAAGTTAAACTGACCAATCCCCACAATAGGATTCCCTACACCTTATTTCCATGGTCCCACCCCAACAAGGGTGCTATGTACCTAATTTTCTTTACTAACAAGCTATCCAATCCCCTTATTTACATTACCAACAAGCTGTCCAGTCCCGTTAGTGGGCCACAAGTACCTTTCAGTTACATAGTTCCACCCAGTCATCTGGTGAACACCACAAAGACCATGGCTAAAAGAGTCATACCAAGTAATTCACTGTACACAATATGCCTGTGACTTGGTAATTGTTCAGCCATGTTCAGGTTGCCCAGTTCTGTAACACAGCAAGGAAGTTTCAGGAGGTCAAATATCCCACTGCCAGGAAGACAGACCTCTCTAACCCTGGCAAAACAATTTTGAAGATTTTGGTTCAACTTCTTTCATAAACTCTAAGAGGCATTAAGTCCCTCAATTTCTGAGAACCTGGATGAAGTCAAAAGCAGAAGAAAGTTCATTATTGGCTGCAACTGCAACTTGATGCATTTTACAAAAGGGGAATAAGTAGCAGAAGCTGGGATAGCAAGGTTTTAAGAACCAACACAGCTTTCTAACTAGCCAGATTATCTTAGAAATGGTCAGTGGAGTCCCACCTACAACAGGGATTGAGATTAAAATATCCATAATTTTTTTTTTTTTTTTAAAGCATAAATTAACACTAGGCCTGCTTGGCCTTGCAAAAAATGATCCTCCTCTTGGAGGTAGAGCCACATTCATAAAGGACCATTGAAAGTCAAATTGGTTCAAGAGGATCTTTTCTTGAGGCAAAAAGAAAAGAGATGAGAGAGAAGTATTTACCTGCTCAAAAAATTAACTGTAGCTATCACAAAGGTTATCCAATAAATGTACATTCAGCAGCCACTTAATGTATGCCAGACACTTTATTTTCTCACCATTCACTTAAACCACCAGCGTGCCAGTGGGCCCACATCTATTTCCCAGCCTGTTTGTCTCCTCTGCGTTTCAGACATTTAGAGCCAATTTTCTCCTAGAATTACTCTTTTAGGTGTCCCACAGGCATTTCACACACAACATACTCAAAACTGAACTTTCTAACTTTTCCTCATAAGCTGTTCCTTTTCTCATATTTGCTGTCTACCCATGAGTGGATCTCCAGCGTTATTTCTGTCACCAAGGCCAAATTTTCCAACTACCAGTGATTCTTTGTTTCCAACTTTTGCATTCCAATCACCAGTGATAATCAACATATCTTGAGTGCATGTTTGGTCAATTTCAGACTGCAGAAATTGATAAAAATCTTCAATTTCCTCATCTTTGGCTTTGGTGGTTGGTGCGTCAATTTGAATAATAGTCGTATTAATGGGTCTTCCTTGTAGGCTATGGATATTATCCTATCACTGACAGCATTGTACTTCAGGACAGATCTTGAAACATCCTTTGTGATGATGAATGCCACGCCATTCCTCTTCAAAAAATAATGCTGGAGATCACATGATAGAATTTTGCAAGACCAACGACTCATTCATTGCAAATATCTTTTTTCAACAACACAAATGGCAGCTATACACGTAGACTTGGCCAGATGGACTACACAGGAATCAGATTGACTACATCTGTGGCAAGAGGCAATGGAAAAGCTCAATATCTTCAGCCAAAATAAGGCCAGGAGCTGATTGTGGAACAAACCATCAACTGCTCATATGCAAGTTCAACTTGAAGTTGAAGACAATTAAAACAAGTCCACAAGAGCCAAAGTATGGCCTCCTGAATTTAGAGACCATCTAAAAGAATAGATTTGATGCATTGAACACCAGTGACCGAAACCAGAAGAATTGTGGGATGACGTCAAGAGCATCATCCATGAAGAAAGCAAGAGGTCATTAAAAATACAAGAAAGAAAGAAAAGACCAAAATGGATATCAGAAGAGATTCTGAAAATTAACCTTAAGTGAAGAGTAGCTAAAGCAAATGGAAGAAATGACAAGATAAAAGAGCTGAACAGAAGAGTTCAAAGAGCAGCTTGAGCAGACAGAGCAGTTACTCTCATGAAATGAGCAAAGATCTGGAGTCTCAGCATGCTCGGCATTTCTCAAGCTGAAAGAACTGAGGAAAAAATTGAAGCCTCGAGTAGCAATAGTGAAAGATTCTATGGGTAAAATATTGAATGATGCAGGAAGCATCAAAAGAAAATGGAAGGAATACATGTAGCAAAAAGAACTGGTCAATCTTCATCCATTTCAGAAGGTGGCATATGTTCAAGAATCAATGGTATTGAAGGAGGAAGTCAAAGCTACACTGAAAGAATTGGCGAAAACAAGGCTCCAGGAATGACGGAATAGGCATTGAGATGTTTAAACAAACGGATGCTGCACTGGAGGCACTCACTCAGCTATGCCAAGAGATTTGGAAGACAGCTACCTGGCCATTTGACTGGAAGAGAACCATATTTGTACAGATTCCAAAGAAAGGTGATCCCACAGAATATGGAAATTATCAAACAGTATCTTTGATATCGCATGCAAGTAAAATATAACTGAAGATAATTCAAAAACGGTTGCAGCAGTATATTGAACTTCCAGAGGTGCAAGAACTTCCAGAGAAGTGCAAGCTGGATTCAGAAGAGGACGTGGAGAAAGGGATATCATTGCTGATGTCAGATGGATCTTGGCTCAAAACAAAGAGTACCAGAAAGATGTTTATTTGTGTTTTATTGACTATGCAAAAGTATTTGATTGTGTGGATCATAACAAATTGTGCATAACATTGAGAAGAATGGGAATTCCAGAACATTTCATTGTGCTCATGAGGAACCCATACATAGATCAGGAGGCTGTCGTTCAAACAGAAAAAGGGGACACTGCATGGTTTAAAATCAAGAAGGGAGTGTGTCAGGGTTGTATCCTTTCACCATACTTACTCGATCTGTATGCTGAGCAAATAATCCAAGAAGCTGGACTATATGAAGAAGAATGTGACCTCAGGATTGGAGGAAGAATCATTAACAACTTGCAATACACTGACAACATAACTGCTTGCTGAAAGTGAGGATGACTTGAAGCACTTACTGATGAGGATTGAAGAGGACTGTCTGCAGTATGGATTGCGTCTCAGTATAAAGAAAACAAAAATCCTCACGACTGGACCTATAAGCACCATCACAATAAATGGAGAAAAGATTGAAATTGCCAGAGACTTCACATTGCTTGGTTCTATAGTCGACACCAATGGAAGCAGCAGTCAGGACATCAGACATCATATGTTGTTGTTGTTGTTATGGGCCATTGAGTTGGACCCGACTCATAGCGACCCCTCCTTGGGTTTCTGAGGCAGTATCACTATGGAAGTAGATTGCCCAACCTTCCTTCCAAGGAGTGGCTGGTGGGTTTGAACCACCAGCCTTCTGGTTAGCAGTCAAGTGCCTTAGGCACTAGACTACCAGAGCTCCCAGACAACTTATAGCAGTGGGCAAATCGGCTGCAAAGGACCTCCTTCAAGTGCTGAAGAGCAAAGATGTCTCCTTGAGGACTTAAGGCACCTGACCCAAGCCATAGTATTTTCATTCGCCTCATATGCATGTGAGAGTTGGACAATAAATAAGGAGGACTGAAGAAAAGTTGATGCTTTTGAGCTGTGGTGTTGGCAAAGAATGCTGAAAGCACCATGGACTGCTAAAAGAACTAACAAGTCTGTCCTGGAGGAAGTGCAGCCAGAATGTTCCTTGGAGGCGAAAATGGCCACATTTTTGTCTCACATACTTTGGTCATGTTGTCAGAAGGGACCATTCCCTGGAAAAGGATGTCATGCTTGGTAAGGTGGAGGGTCGATGAAAGAGGGGAAAGCCCTCAATGAGATGGATTGACACAGTGGCAGCAGTGATGGACTTAAGTATAGCAAGAGTCATGGAGCTGGCACAGGACCGGGCAGTGTTTCGTTCTGCTGTGCATAGGGTCACTATGAGTCAGAGATGACTTGATGGCACCTAACAACAACATCAATGGAAATTAAGGAGCATGTTAGGATTCCCTTTTCCTTCACTTCCCACCTTCCCAAGCCCTGGTGATTCTATCTCATACATGTCTCTTAAATCTACCCCTTCCTGTGCTAACTTCAGGCCCTCAACTCTCTCCCATGGGTCTTAAAAAGCCTCCCACTTGGTTCTCTGCCATCAGGTTCATTCTCCTTCAATCAGTCCTCCATTTGCCATCAGCCTTATTCTCCTGGAAATCAAATCTATGTCATTTGCTTGCTCAAAACCTCTTCTAATGTCAAGCATAAAATTCAAAGTTCTTAAAAAACAATAATAATAGCAAACACTTACTGGATGCCTACTGTGCACATAATAAAAAAAAAAAAAACTCACTGCCATCAAGTCAATTCCGACTCACAGCAACTCCCTTTGGGTTTCTGAGGTGGTAAATCTTTATGGAAGTAGATTGGCCAGTCTTCCTTCCATGGAGTGGCTGGTGGGTTTGACCTGCAAACCTTCTGGTTAGCAGTGAAATGCCTTAGGCACTATGCCACCACAACTCCTTACTGTGCACAAATATTAGTGCTTTATACAGATGAATGTCTTATTTTCACAATACACTATGAGGTGGGGACTATAATTAGCCTCATCTTAAAATAAGGAAACTGAGGCACATTTTCTCTCAGTGCATCCTGCATTCTGTTTACTATAAACTCCTTGTAAGTCTCCAAATGTATCATGATCTGTCTTACTTCATTTGTTTTTCCCTTTGCCCTCAATATCATTCCCACCTAATTAACCACTCCTTTAAGATTGAGCTCCTCTGTGATGTTCTTCTGGCTTTCTCCATCCCTAACAATTAAATGTTCTTATGTTGGTTGCCATAAGCTTATATGCGTGCACTACTCTTCATGTTCTTTCATATCTCGACATGGACTAGCTATTTTTCCTCTATGTATCCAGCACAGTGATGACAGGCACTACATGGATTCATAATATTTTGTGATTTTTTTGGGATACTGCTCCTGAAAAATTTTTTTGATTCCACAGGCTTACCCCTTGCTAACCCCCTTGATTGTTCTCTTGTAGCCTAGAAAAAAACTACATCTGAATGAAGTGGGTGTTTCACTCATGATATAGAACAGTGGTCAGTGAACAATGGCCATATTTGTCCCTTTTTAAAGTTGTATTGGAGCACAGCTATACCCATGCATTTGCATATTATCTGTGACGGCTTTCTCACTACAACCACCAGAGTTGAGTGTTTGTGACAGAGACCATATGGCCCACAAAACTGAAAAATGGCCCTTTTTTAGATGTTTGCTGACACGTGATGTCAACAAGGAATCAAGGGAATAGATTTAGTGTGGACTGATTCCATAACATATTCATCCATTCATTCATTAAAATCATAGAAATTAGAGCTTTGTTGGTTATCCCTTATTGACTTTTTTTGTTATTGTTCTTAGTGGCCTTTCCTGAAATTGTACTAACTGGGGAAAAGATCTAGTTAATTCTGGGTTATAAATGGTAAAATGGTTCTATTATACTTGTAATATCAAGAGAACCACATGCAAAGAAAGTGTTTTATTAAACAAAGCTATTGTTTTTCATAAGGAGCTCTGGTGGTGTAGTGCCTAAGGCATTTGACTGTTAACAGGAAGGTTGGTGGTTCAAACCCACCAGCCACCCCATGGAAGGAAGACTGGGCAATCTACTTCTGTAAAGATTTACCACCTCAGAAACCCAATGGGGTCGCTATGAGTCAGAATCGACTCCATGGCAGTGAGTGTGGGTGGGTTTTTTTTTGTTGTTGTTGTTTTTCATGATGGTTTCTGAAATGAGATTTTAACCTGGAATGAGATTTTACTATGCATACTAGTAGTGTGGTTCTAATAAGAAGAGAATAGTCTGGAAGGAGAACCAGTGTCTAGCTGGGCTTTCAGAAACTCTCTTCTGGGCTTCAGTTTCTTCCTCTATAAGCAGGATAGAATATATGATCTTCCAGCTCAATGATAGCCAATTCTGTATATATCACTGCTTTTGGTTGAATATTCATGGCAACTTTATCCTTGGGAAATGACATATTAGAGTCGTTAGCTGACTTGCATTTGTTGTTTAATTAAATGCCAGGTCCTGCTGAAATGAGTTTGCTGTATGTTGATTATATTTCATGTCTCTAAGATGGGCTTCTTATGGCATTACATATTTTTATTTTTCATATTGATACTAATTTTCTTTTTTCACAGAATTATGTTAGAGTTGTAGAGGTTTGGTGGGATGAATACAAAGACTATTTCTATGCTAGTCGTCCTGAATCAAAAGCATTGCCATACGGGGATATATCTGAGCTGAAAAAATTTCGAGAAGATCACAACTGCAAAAATTTCAAATGGTTCATGGAAGAAATAGCATATGATATCACTTCACATTACCCTTTACCACCCAAAAATGTTGACTGGGGAGAGGTAAGTATCAGCTGATATTCAGGGCTTAAAGTGTGTGTGTTTGGAAACTGAGTTGGGGAGAAGGCAGTAAGAGATGGAAATGTAAGTGAAAGATGAAAATTCTTGAGGAAAATCTTGGGTAAGAATGGTCTGATAACTCCCACTACCGTTACACCAGTACCACTACAGCTACCCTAGCCACCCAACCAACCATTCGTCCTGCAAGTTACCTTGAGAACACTTCATTCTCCCTGCCAGCTTTTGCACCTGTGGCTCCCCCATCTGTAACACTGTCCACTCCCTCCAACTTTTTCTGCGCCCTTGCCCTGTATTCCAACTCCCTTTCTTGATCAGTTTCCAACTTACCCTGCTGCTCTCAACATAGATATCACAACTACTGAAAAGCCTGTCTCATTCTTCCCATTCTATGATCTTTCCATAGATTCCTGTAACACTTTAAATCACTCTCTCTCAACCAGTCTGTAAGTGCTTTAGGACCTCGTTCACAATTGGGTGCAGAAACCCCATCTGTAATAGGCACTCAGATGATGCTTGTCAAACAAATGAATTAATTAGTGGTAACTAAAATCAGAAAAAGAGAGCAATCTATGTTGCCATTTTTTTATTTTTTCAAATCTACCTTTGTAACCTGATTTCTGATCATATCCACTCACATACCTTATGCTCCTGCCTCACAGGTATACCAAACTTGCCCTGAACTTTCAAATCTACATGGATTTTCTTAATTATTCATTGAACAAATATTTTTTCAGGGCCTAGTGCCTAAGGCACTTGACTGCTAACCAGAAGGCTGGTGGGTTTGAACTCCTCAGAAGGAAGGTTGGGCAATCTACTTCCATAGTGATACTGCCTCAGAAACCCAAGGAGGGGTCGCTATGAATTGGGTCCAACTTGACGGCATATAACAACAACTATATACCAATTATTTTTCTGGAGAGAAACAAGACACACCCTGTCTTTTTTCCTCTGGGAAGTCCCAGTCTAGGTTCGTAGGGAGAAAGACAAAAATGATCAGAGAAAACAATGACAGATGGTATTAAGAGCTATGAAGAAAATATACAGGTGATATAGTCAGAAGGAGGAGCTCTGGTAGCATAGTGCCTAAGGCACTTGACTGCTAACCAGAAGGCTGATGGTTCAAACCACTAGCCACTCCTCGGAAGGAAGATGGGGCAATCTACTTCTGTAGTGATACTGTCTCGGAAACCCAATGAGGGGTCACTATGACTCGGTCCGACTTGACCGCACATAACAACAACAACATAGTCAGAAGGACCCAAGGACAGGTAAGGAAGGCCTTTCTGAGGAGACATTTGATCTGAGCTCCGAATGATAAAGAGACAGCAAGAGTACTCCAAGTATGTAATGGATTCACCTTTGTTGCCTTTAACTCTTGTGCTCCTCCCAGTATCTTCCTTCACCTTGATCATTTTGTGCTGACCTCCCCCTTACTGCACATTGCCTTTCCCTTCATGCAAGTTAACACATGCTGCTCTAGTTAGTGTTTTACCCTCTCTTTCTCTTCCACCCCGGTAGCCTTCAAAGAATGTTTCTTTTTGTGTATAAACCTTTTCTTGACTTTACAGTAGTGGTCTCACACAATATTTGTCCTTTTGTGATTGACATTTCATTCAGCATAATGCTCTCCAGGTTCATCCATGTTAATAACACTGAGAATAATAATGTACGAATGGTTACATAGATAAACACACAAGCTGAACCGTGGTAAGAAAGTGACTGGAACTACATCCACAAATACATATATACAGGTTTGACAGAGGTTATTTGTACATACATATTTAGATATACTATGAATATAGTGGGAGCTCTGGTAGCATAGTGTCTAAGGCACTTGACTGCTAACCAGAAGGCTGGCTGTTCAAACCCACCAGCCAGTCCTTGGAAGGAAGGTTGGACAACCTACTTCCATAGTGGTACTGCCTCAGAAACCCAAGGAGGGGTGGCTATGAGTCGAGTCCGACTCGACAGCACATAACAAGAACAACATAAAGATAGTAGATGATACTGTTATTGGTAGGTGCCATCTGATTGATCCTGATTCATAGTGATCCCATGTACGACAGAACGAAATACTGCCTCATTATGCTTCATCCTCACGGTCCTTGCTATACTTGAGCCCATCATTGCAGCCATTGTGTCAATCCATTTCATTAAGGGTCTTCCCCTTTTTTGCTGACCCTCTACTTTACCAAGCATGATATCCTTCTCCAGGGAATAATCCCTTCTGACCACGTGACCAAAATAGGTGAGATGAGCTCTGGCCATTCTTGCTTAGAGGGATCATTCTGGCTGCACTTGTTCCAGAACACTTTTGTTCACTCTTCTGGCAGTCTGTGGTAGTTTCAATATTCACCAACACCATAATTTAAAGGCATCAACTTTTCTTTGGTCTTCCTTATTCACTGTCCAGCTTTCACGTGCCTAGGAGGCAATTGAAAATTCCTTGGCTTGGGTTAGGTGCACCTTACTATTTGAAGTGACATCTTTGCTTCTTAACACTTTAAAGAGATCTTTTGCAGTAGATTTTCCCAGTGCAATACATTTAATTTCTTGACAGCTGCTTCCTTAGGTGTTGATTATAGATATAAGTAAAATGAAATCCCTGACAGCGTCAACCTTTTCTCCATTTAGTATGATGTTGCTTATTGGTCCAGTTGTGAGGATTTTTATTTCCTTTTTGTTGAGGTGCAGTCCATATTGAAGACTGTAGTCTTCAGTCTTCATCAATAAGTGCTTCAAGTCATCTTCATTTTCAGCAAGCGAGGTTGTGTCATCTGCATATTGCAGGTTGTTAATAAGTCTTCCTCCAATCCTGATGCCCCACCTTCTTCTACATATAGTCCAGTTCCTCGGATTATTTGCCCAGCATACAGACTGAATAAGTATGGTGAAAGAATACAACCCAGATGCACACCTTTCCTGATTTTAAACCATACAGTCAGCATCCCCTTGTTCTGTTCAAATGACAGCTTCTTGGCCTATGTACAGGTTCTTCATGAGCACAATTAAGTGTTCTAGAATTCCTATTCTTCTCATGTTATCTATAATTTTTTATGATCCACATAGTCAAATGCCTTTGCATAGGTCAATAAAACACAAGTAAACATCATTCTGGTATTCTTTGCTTTGAGCCAAGATCCATCTGACATCAGCAATGATATCCCTCATTCCACATTCTCTTCTGAATCCAGCTTGCACCTCTGGAAGTTCTCTGTCAATATACTGCTGCAACCATTTTTGAATTAAGTAAGATTTTACTTGTGTGCGATATTAATGATTGTCTCCAATAATTTCCACATTCTGTGGGATCATCTTTCTTTGGAATGGGTACAAATATGGATATCTTCTAGTCAGTTGACAAGGTAGCGAGCTGTCTTCCAAATCACTTGACATAGCCAAATGAGTGCCTCCATTGCAGCATCCATTTGTTGAAACATCTCAATGGGTATTCCATCAATTCCCAGAGCCTTGTTTTTCACCAGTTCCTTCAGTGCAGCTTCAACTTCTTCCTTCAGTACCACTGGTTCCTGATCATATGCCACCTCCTGAAATGGATGAACATCGACCAATTCTTTTTGGTACAGTGATGACTCTGTATTCCTTCCATCTTCTTTTGATGTTTCCATAGTGCGTAAGGCACTTGACTGCTAACCAGAAGGCTGGCGGTTCAAACCCACCAGCCACTCCTCGGAAGGAAGGTTGGGCAATCTACTTCCATAGTGATACACCACCTCAGAAACCCAAGGAGGGGTGGCTATGAGTCAGGCCCAACTCGACGGCACATAATAACAACAAGAACAACAAGCATCATTCAATACATTGCCCATAGAATTTTTCAATGTTGCCACTCAAGGCTTATATTTTTTCCTCAATTCTTTCAGCTTGAGTAATGCTGAGCATGTTCTCTCCCTTTTGGCTTCCCAACTTCATATATTTGCACATTTCATTATAATAACTGACTCTGCCTTCTCAAGCTGCTATTTGAAATCTTCTGTTCAGCTCTTTGTCTTGTCATTTCTTCCATTTGCTTTAGCTATTCTTCATTCAAGGGCAAGTTTCAGAGTCTCTTCTGACGTACATTTTCGTCTTTTCTTCCTTTCTTGTCTTTTTAATGACCTTTGCTTTCTTCATGGATTATGTTCTTGATATCATCCCACAATTCCTCTGGTTTTTGGTCATTGGTGTTCAGTGCATCAAATCTATTCTTTAGATGGTCTCTGAATTCAGGCCAGGGTATATTCAAGGTCATATTTTGGCTCTTGTGGACTTGTCTTAATTGTCTTCAGCTTCAAGTTGAACTTGCATATGAGCAGTTGATGGTTTGTTCCCCATCAGCTCCTGGCTGAAAATACTGAGCTTTTCCATTGCTTCTTGCCACAGATATAGTCAGTCAGATTCCTGTGTACTCTATCTGGTGAAGTCCACTTGTATAGCCACTATTAGTGTTATTGAAAAATATATTTGCAATGAATAACTAATTGGTCTTGCAAAATTCTGTCATGTGATCTCCAGCATTATTTCTATAAAGCTTATAAGGCAGGAATGGGAACGGTAAACACAGGGAGGGAGTGGGGAGTGCTACTACCTTGTCAATGTCACAGAACAAAATGTATGAATTATTGAAGGGAAAACCAATTTACTGTGTAAACTTTCACCCAAATCACAGTAAAAAGTTAAAAGAATGTTCCGAGTAAAGAAAATGGTGAGTTCAAAGGCTCTGAGTCAGGAAATGCTACTTGCAAAAACGGAGATTAGAGAGGCACAGACCAAGCCACTCAGGTGTTGAAGGCCCTGGAGAGGAGAGAGGCCTTTATCCCAAGGCTGATGAGAAGCCATGGGAATATTTTAAAGAGAAAGGCACCATGTTTTGATTTATACTTTTATTTTTAATCCCTATGCTATGAGGACTTAGAGTAGAAACAAGGATCTCAATTAGGAAACTCATAGGGTGGTTCCAGGTCCTTGAGTAGCACAATAGATTTGCCTCATCTACCAGACCCAAAGGTTGGTGGTTTGAACCCACCCAGTGACATCACAGAAAGACCTGGCAATCTGCTTCCATAAAGATTAAATAAAAAGCTGTTCTACTTAGTAATACATGGGGTCTCCATGAGTCAAAATCACCTCAACAGCAAAAGATTAGGGTAGTTCCAGTGAAAAGTGATCTTGGCTTGAAGTAGGGTCACAAGAGTGAAGATAGAGAAGAGCAGATCAGTTTAACATGTATCATTCACTTGGTGGTGGACCCAAAAGGCCTCACTGATGGATTGGCATATGGAGGATAAGCCAGTATGACATATGGGTTTTGTTTTTTATTTGAGTATCTGATTAGGTGGCAGTTGAGATGGGAAGGATGATGGAGGAAGGGAATGGGGAGGAATGGCAAGTTCGCTATTGGTGTTCTGGGCCTATAAATAAATGCCTGTTGGACATCCTGTGAAGTAGATAAGGAGCTCTGGTGTCATAGTGCCTAAGGCATTTGACTGCTAACCGGAAGGTTCAGACCCACCAGCCACTTCTCGGAAGGAAGATTGGGCAATCTACTTGCGTAGTGATACCGCCTGGGAAGATGGGACAATGTACTTCCATAGTGATACTGCCTTGGAAATCCAAGGAGGGGTTCCTATGAGTTGGGTCCCACTCGACAGCACATAACAACAACAGCAACCACCTCAGAAACCCAAGGAGCGGTTGCTATGAGTCAGATTTGACTGGATGGCAGTGCACTGCATTGTTTGTTTTACATCAAGTAGATGGCAGGCTATGTGATTCAGAAACTCAGTAGTCACTCTAGAGATATATATGCGGGGACCAGCACCAGGTGGATTGTTTCTTGGGACTAAATGATCATCTAGAGAGAAAATAGAGATGAAGAGAGTTCAGGACCCACCTCTAAAGAACTCTAATATTTAGAGTTTGGGAATAAAAGGAGATACTAACAAAGGACACTTAGGCTACTCTCTCTTACTCTGAAATCGGTTCTCCACTTAGCAAAGCCCCTAGCCTCCTTCAAGACTCAATGTAAATGCTACACCTTCTGTGAATCTTTTCCTCATCTACCCAAGTAAGAATGAATCAGTCTTTTATCTGTACCTCTTGTTTTAATACCTTCTTGTTCTATATCCTCATTTCTCAGCTGTGTTCTATTATAGCCAGTTGTGTTTAACTCCTCAATGAGAACATAAGCCTTTTAGAATCAGGACCACCTTCTCCCAGAAATACCTAATTAGTATAATGCCTTCTGTGTAAAAGGAATAAATAAATCCTCTGCCTGGAATACTTTAAACATCTGCATGGCTAACTCTTACACTTCCCTCTAGGAAGAAAGGCCTGGTGATCTACTGAAAATTAGCCAATGAAAACCTTATGGATCACAATAAATATCATCTAACCCACTTGCCTTGGACATGTTATCAGAAGGGATCAGTACTAGAGGAAGACATTATGTTTGGTGAAGTAGAAAGTCAATGAGGGTGTAGAAGACTCTCATGGAGGTGGATTAGCACAGTAGCTGTAGTGATAAACTCAAACATGCTGGCAATTGACTAAATTGCAGCTAACAACAACATATTTCTTTCAGGTCTGCTCAAATACCAATTTCTCAATTGAAATCTACCCAGCTGCCCACTCCCACACTGGCAATATTAGCTTTAACTTGCTCTTTTTGTTTTTTTTCCGCATAGCACCTATCATTTTCTAACATGATAGTTTATTATGTTTATTATCTATTATATTTATTGCTTATATTCTGGCTTTCCTTCCTGAGAAGATAAAGATGTTTTATGTCTTTTGTCATTGATGTATCGGAACCTACAACACTCGATTTTTAGTGAATGCAGTTTTGTCCTCCCTTTATTACCTCATCCCTGAGTACATCTTCAGTTTAACCTTCTCTTATTCTGCTGCTTGTGTCTTACACCTCATTTCTCAGCACACTCTGCACATGCCAGGATAAACCTTGCCTGTTTAAAAGCCATCGCCTAGGGGCAGTCTTTAGAGCTCCTCCAGGTAGAGTGTTTCCATTCGCCCATTCTCATACCTCCATCCTAATGCTGACTTTCTGCCATGATTCACTCATCTTTGTATCTTCAAAAGCTCTTACTGTCATAGGTGCTTATCAATATTTGCTGACTGAATGATTGAATAAATATTTTATCTAAATTCTATAGTAATGTATAATTGAGAAATAAATATACAATATTTCCAAAAAGATTATTTTTATACAAAATACGCATTCCAAAGATGGAAACTTAAGTTTGCTACTCACCTACATTATCCATAATCAAAGAAAGCCTCATTGTTTGGCCCACATACATGACCTGTGCCCTCTCTGTCCCTGGAAGTCACCACCAAAGTGCTGGTGTGGCCGCTTGGGAGAGGGACCATGCAAATCCAACTCTTCTAGATGGGGCCATTGTCAGTTACCACGGTGGTCAGGTAAAGTCACCGTTTGTTCCTGGTTCACACGAGTTATGCCTATGAAAGCATATCTTAAGTTATGCTTAATAGTATCTTTTCATTTTTTTTATCTTCTGGGGTATTTTATGGAAATCTGTACACCAGTGCCCCTAGTTCATTTCAATACCATAAATTATTTCAAAGATGTCTCGTGTGCTCTAAGCTATTTAAAACACTGACAATATAGTAATAACCTGGAACTACACATTCCCAGATTTTCACTATGAACTGCAGTATTTAACATGAAACTCTTTTAGTCTGACACCTTGTTGTTAGTTGTCGCTGAGTCACAGTGAGTTTAGGCATAACAACAAAACATTGCCTGGTTCTGTGACAATCTCATGATCGTTGGTATGTTTGAGCCCATTGTTGCTATTTTATCAATCCATCACATTGAGGATTTCCCTAACCCTCTACTTTACCAAACATGCTGTCTTTTTCTAGCCGTTGGTCTTTCCTGGTGACATATCCAAAGTAAGTGAGCCAAAATCTTGCCGTCCTTGCTTCTAAGGCACATTCTGGTTGTATTTCTTCTAAGACTAATGCTAAAGCTTATTAACAACAACAACTGTTGCCTGACTTTTAGTTCTTTGTTTTTTAGATCAGAGGTTTTGAAACTGCTTACTGCATTGATAGTATGGGGAAAACAAATGGAGGTTTTGTTGAACTAGGACCCTGCCACAGGATGGGAGGGAATCAGGTAAAGAACCTTGCTTTTGTGTTTAAATTGGTCTGCATTTAGAGCCATCAGGCTTACTGATCATGGAGTTTTGATTTATTCATTTAGTTTGTTTTGATAAAGTAAAATATTCTGTAAAAATTGACAATGCTGAATAAAATATTCACTTAATTGAGGGAGATAATAGTATTGATTTTCACATAAGCAGTTAGAATCTAGAATTATGTCTAATAAAAGAGATTAAAATATATTATTGTGGGAGTATATACTTCTGTCACTACCATTACTATGTAAGCCCAGCTCCTTAACAACTTTATTTTCAGTAATCCACAAGATTTTTTTTCAGTAAACTGAGGTGTTACTATATTTCAGTAATATATTTTCTTACTTCCTCATGTGGGTATTTTTTTGTCTCTAATTTAGACTGGAAACAATCATTATATCCCCGCTTTTTTTTCATTTTCTCACATTGTTAATACATAAAAAATACGTACTAATACCTATTCTATAAGACTAAAGAATATAATGATTTGTCACTAACATCAAGCTAAATATAATTCCTGTCTTTGAACTTACAGTTCTGAAAACCCAGAAAAATTAGAGAAAAATAAGATAGTCTTTGAGTTCGTTTATAGAAATTGTTTGTTTTTTTTTATGTATATCATTAGGGAAGAGTTCTATTATTTTTCTGTTTCCTTTTTTTTTTATATACATATAGCTTTTCCGAATCAATGAAGCTAATCAACTCATGCAATATGACCAGTGTTTGACAAAGGGTCCTGATGGATCAAAAGTTATGATTACACACTGTAATCTAAATGAATTCAAGGAATGGCAGTACTTCAAGGTATTCTGCATTTTGACTTCTGAAATAATATTGTATGCTATTTTATTTTCAAAAACACCTAGCATGTAGGATTTAGATGAATAAATCCTAAAGTCTGTATTCAGATTGACTTGCATTTTAGTCGTATAGATTTTCCTAGCATATTGTTCATACTGAAGCATAACTTTTTATTCTCTGGTGCAATATTGTCATATAATGATGTCATAATGATGTCCAGGAAGGCCCACTGCTAATTTCAGTAGCATAAGAAAATCAGTACAAACCATTCCAGTGCATCAGAATCTAATTTTTAAAATATAAATTAGTAATTCATTAAAGTAAGATAGAGACATATTTATACCATAGAAATATTTGTGTATTTCATATCATCCAGCAGGTGGAGATAGAGACAAATGAATGAAAATGTTGGCAATCTAGGCTTTCACAACTTCCTTGGCATTGTTGTTTTCTAAATAGGAAAAATATAACAGTTGTTTATTAAAGGTCAAATTTAGTTTTTCATTTGATACTGGCTGGGGCAGTTTTTCTGTTTCAAGTGTGAATATTAAAAGGTCTGAGGATTCCAATATATTAATGTATTTAGGCTTAATTTCCAAAGTCTAGACTTAGGTAGGTGCTCTGGTAGCATAGTGCCTAAGGCACTTGACTGCTAACCAGAAGGCTGGTGGTTCAAACCCACCAGCCACTCCTCGGAAGGAAGGTTGGGCATTCCTACTTCCATAGTGATACTGCCTCGGAAACCCAAGGAGGGGTCGCTATGAGTCGGGGCCAACTCGATGGCAAATAACAACAACAACAACATAACAGACTTAGGTAAAATGAATAAATTTTCTATGAAACAAAAGGTTGGGAGAGCTGCCTCAAACTAAAAGAATCTGGCAACCTTCAATTTTATTTGTTCATCTTTGTCATCATACCCTATCTGTTATGTAAGAGCTATATGTAGTAATGATATTATGACCCAGCTTAATATTCTCAGTTATTGTCATTCATGAATAATCACTTTTAAGTTGTAAACACATGTCAGCTGCTGATTTTTGTCTCATAACAAGTTAGGAAAAGAGGCGATTAATATAAACACTAAAGAACACAGCATTTATTTTCACAAAGAAAGGTGAATAATGACAGCAAATGATAGGAAAGTCAGACGGTGTACATATTTTAGATATTTTAAAGGATACAACATTGAATATACATTTATGCAGACATTAAATAGTCACTGGAAAGCAGCAATAGGTAGACTCTGTGGAGGTTCAAAAAGTAGCTAAAACACATACTATAATAGCAAAGAAGAAGAAATATGTAGAAATAAAAATAAGCAAAATCCCATTGTTATTGTTGTTATGTGCTGTCAAGTTGAACTCAACTCATAGTGACCCCTCTTTGGGTTTCCAAGGAAGTAGATTGCCCAGCCTTCCTTCTGAGGAGTGGCTGGTGGGTTTGGACCGTCAGCCTTCTGGTTAGCAGTCAAATGCCTTGCACTACACTACTAGAGCTCCTAAGCAAAATCCCATAGGAAAGCAAAAGAAAGGTTAGTAGGAGGACTTACTTCTGATGAGTTTCATAGAGAAGTATAATTGCTTCATATCTTGAAGTATAAAAAGGCTTTCCATGGGGGACAAATATAAAAACTAATGAACAAAGACATAACATGAAGTTGAGAGGTAAGAAGATGGCATCATGCAGTTAATACCCATGTTCACTCCCTCTTCCATCTGCAACCCAGAACAACTAGGTAAAGCAGATACAAATAAAGATACTGGAGTTATGAACCGCTAAGGAGAAGATACAGTACTAGATCCAGTGAAAGCAAAGAAAGAAAGCGGGATAAACAACTGGGGGGAAAAAGGCAGGCCTACCCAAGTGGCGGAGATGGAAACAAAAGACCTAGAGCAGGAGGCAGAGTGGAGGAGATGGAAGAGGAAAAAGAAAGAAAAAACACTACGGAACCCATAGGTGCTGGGACTCAGAATAGCCTCACCAGAAGTTTTAAGAGGTAAACTAGGACTCGGGGAGTGAAGATCTTATGGGCAAACCCAGCAGGACCCACCTTAGCTTGGGCTGCCACAGAGTCTGGAACAGAGTGGCAGAAAGGGCATAGAAATGCCCTCTGAGTTGGCACAGCCTCAGAGTGGGTGCACAGCAGTGGGTTTGGGCCCATGTCCTGGAAACCCTTTGTGGTCCAGATTTAATCTGTACATTGGGTTTTTGCAGCTTATCGGTCCACCCAGAGAGAGGAAACACTCTTCCTTTTGGGACTACTTCCAAATTTGAAACAACTGGGTGCCATCATCAGCAGAGGTCCCCAAAAGGACCTGAGCTGCCATGTCCATGCCTGCATTCCTGACTGAATTTCCTTACCCCAAGCAGAAAACTCCTTTAGGCCTTTCTATCCTGGGGTTCCTTTATGGTGTGTTTTTTTTTTTTTTCCCCTTTCCTCTTTTCCCTTTTCTCCCTGACTCATGCAATAGGAGAAGCATATTAAACCTCTACTAGGCAACTGTAGATACTACAGATGGTAGACAGCATCTGTTCATCCTAACACCAAAGTCTATTGACAATGAATAGAGACTTGCACCTGCATCCATCCCACCAGTGATTGCACCAACAGAGAGAGAGTTGGAGAGTGACCCAGTACAGCCAAGTTAATAATCAAAGAAGTACATCTGCTACACACTCCCAGATACAGTAAAACATAAAAGCAGGGTGAAACAAATCAATACATAACTAACAACTAAAGACAATAATTTCACAATATCTGGGAAACAACAGACAACCTCACATCAAACCAAAAAAATAGGACAAGATAACAAAGAAAAGTCTAGAGTAAAATAAAGAATTATGTTTCTTAGAGGAAGAACAAGCAATAGAACTATTTGAAAAGGAATTGAGAACATATATATATATTGGACCCTCCAAGAGCACAAACCAAGACAAACCAAACTCACTGCCGTCAAGTCAGATCTGACTCATAGTGACCCCTCCTTGGGTTTCTGAGGTGGTATCACTACAGTAGATTGCCCAATCTTCCTTCCAAGGAGTGGCTGGTGGGTTTGAACCCCAGCCTTCTGGTTAGCAGTCAAATGCTTTAGGCACTGTGCCACCAGAGAAAAATGGAAACCATAAACAGAAACAGTGAGAAGACAGACAGTACCCTAGAAGAATTCAGGAAAATCATTCAAGAACAAAGTAACAAAATAAACAATCAATTAGAACTCATACAAAAACAGCAATTAGAAATGCAGAAGATGAACACAAAAATAGATAACATGGTGGAAGGACAAAAGAGTAGACTAGAACTGGCTGAAGAACACATTTCCCAGCTAGCAGACAAATCCCTTGAAGCCAGCCTGTATGAAGAAAAATTGAACAAAGATTTGAAAGAAATGAGGAGAACCTAAGAGTTACATGGGACAATGTGAAAAGAAACAACATAGCCTGATTGAAATACCAGAACAAGAGGAGGCAAAAAAAAAAAAAAAAACCCTGAGAAAATTGTTGAAGACTTGCTAAAAGAAAATTTCCCACATACCATGAAGGAAGAAAAGATAATCATGCAAGAAGCTTAACAAACCTCATACAGGATAGATCCCAACAGAAAGTCACCAAGACATATCATAATCAAACTTTCCAAAAACCAAAGACAAAGAATCAATCTTGGAAGCAGCTCAGGAAAAATGAAATGTCACCTACAGTGGACAACCAATAAGACTAAGCTCTGATTTCTCAGCAGAAACCATGCAGGCAAGAAGGTTGTGAGATGGCATATATAAAACCTTGAAGGAAAAGAACTTCCAACCAAGAATTATATATCCAGCCAAATTGTTCCTCAGATATGAGGGTGAAATCAAGACATTGTCAGACAAATGGAAATTAAGGGAGTTTGCAAAAACCAGACCACTCTATAAGAAATGGCTAAAGGGAGTCCTTCCAATAGAGAACCCACAACAGAGAACAAATTAAAATCAAGATACTTGACACCACCACCTAGAAACCAAACTAGAAAAAGACTCTCAAAATAAGCTCATAAGAAATGTACTTAGAGAAATAAAGGAGTCAATCTGCTGATGACACCAGGACCAAAGCAAATAGAGGGAACAAAAGTTTTAAGTACAAAACTTCCAAATGGAAAGGCAGACAGAACTGTCTTTATAGAACAGACTGTTATAAACTTAGAGAGATGAGAATTTCCTTCAAAGTAACCACAAAGATAATTAACAATCCTTCTAAGCAAATTCAGGAAAATAAATAAATAATAAGGGCTTAGTAAGCACAAAACCAACAATAATGAAGAAAAGAGAAAAATCACTTGATAACAAAATGAACTCAGCACAGAAAAAATAGTTGGAACAACTATTTGTGGAATTCACCACAAACACAACAAAAATCACAATAGAATAACAGCAATAAATTCATACTTATCACTAATTACACTCAATGTGAATGGACTAAATGCACCATTCAAGAGAAAGAGAGTGGCAGATTGGATAAGAAAATAAGACCCGTCGATAGCTGCCTACAAGAGACCCACATTAGACACAAAGATAAAAATTAGAGGATGGAAAAAAATATACCAAGCTAATGGCAACCAAAAAATAACAGGAGTGGCAATATTAATTTCCAATATAATATACTTCAAGATAAAAATTAGCATAAGGGTCAAACAAGGACACTATATGATGCTAAAAGGGTCAATGGACCAAGAGGACATTACCATAATAAATATCTGTGCACCCAATGAAAAAGCTCCAAAGCACATAAAGCAAACATTAACTGAAGTGAAAGGAAAAACAGACAACTCTGCAATAGTAGTAGGAGACTTTAACACACCACTTTCAAGGAAGGACAGAACAACTGGAAAAAAACTCAACAAAGATACAGAAGATCTTAACAACATAATCAACCAACTTGACCTCATAGACATGTACAGAACACTCCACCCAACAAAAGCATAAGTACACATTCTTATCCAGTGCACATGGATTATTCTCCAGAATAGA